CTGCTGGTCATGGCGGCGGCTGCAGTGTCTCTCCGCCTCAGCCTCCCGCTTCCCACAATTCTCCTCTCTCCTTGTCCCACCTACTTCCTGCCTGGCCACTGGCCAATCAGTGTTTTATTTATTGACCAATCAGAGCAATTTGACATACAGACCGTCCCACAGCAGGAAAAGGCTGAAGGAATTTCCTAAACAACAACAGGAAGTTTATGCAAATATAATTCAAGGAGTAGGCCAGGTTCCGGCGCTAGCAGAGAGCAAATGTTGGTGGTTTTGGCCACAGGGATCTGGCTTTATCAAGAAGGATACCAGAGTAAAAAGGTTGTGGAATCTTCCTCTGTGTTAAGGAAAGCTGCTGAGGCCAGGCATGTGTCACGGGTGTCCTTCCTTGAAGTCTCAGAGAGGCCATTGTGTGACTCTGTAAAGATGAATCCTGGATTGACTTGGAGACCTCCAGATATTGGAGAAGCCAGAGCCATGGATATTTGCCAAGGAGAGCAGCATATAGGGTGTGGAACCGCCACACACATGCAAGTGAGAGAGAGAGAGAGAGAGAGAGAGAGAGAGAGAGAGAGAGAGAGAGAGAGATGTGTTCAGCTTTTTGAGATATGAAGAGCCATCTAATAAGCCTTTTGACATCAGGCATAGAGATGTAGAATTTGGAATCTGCCCAGCTGGGTTTCAGTCTTGCTTTGGTCTAATATTTCCTCACTATGCTCCCTTTCCTCCCTTTTGAAATGGTAATGTATATTCTCTGCCATGGTATGGTGATGTGATCTGCTTTTTTAATTTTGATTTTACAGGAGGTTACAATAAAAAGATCAGCTTGAGTCTCAGAAGAGACTTTGGACTTTTAAGCAGTCTTGAGATTGTGAAAGATTAAGGAGACTTTTGAAGTTGAACTGAGTATATTTTGCATTATGACATGGTTACAAGACTATGGGGGCCAGGATGAAATGTGGTGGTTTGAATGACAATGGCCCCCACAGGCTTATATATTTGAATGCTTGGTTTGTTTGGAAAGGATTAGGAGGTATGGCCTTGTTGGAGAAGGTACGGTCTAGTTGGAGGAAGTGTGTCACTGGGTGTGAGAGGTGGGTTTTGGGGTTTCAAAAGCCCACAATAGGCCCTGTCTCACTCTCTCAAACTGTAGCATACAGATCAGATGTAAGCTCTCAGCCATTGCCCCAGCACCATGCCTGCCTGCCTACTGCCATGCTCCCCATGATGATGTTCATGGACTAACCCTCTAAAACTATGAGCAAGCTCCCAATTGAATGCTTTACTTTTTAAGTTGCCTTGGTCATAGTGTCTTCTTACAGTGATAGTAACCATAACTATGACACCCTCACACATACAAATGCATATATACACACATATATAAAGTAAAATCCAAAATCCACATATGAGAGAGAACATGTATTTATTTTTACACAGTATAATAGTTTACAGAGCCATCCATTGAAACCAGGATCTTGAAGAAACATTTGCATTCCTATTTTAATTGCAGGAGTATTTATTTACACAAGTCAAGTATGGAAAGAACCAAAATATTCATTAATAAATCCATAAAGATAATGTGGAAGCTGAGCATGGTGGTGCACACCTTTAATTCTAGCAGAAGCAGGAGGATCTCTATGAGTAAAAGGCCAGCCTCGTGAATATAGTGAGCTCCAGGAGAGCCAGGAATACATAGACTGTTATTTTGCCCAGATCACAGGGATGCACAAAAGACCACCACAGAGACTGAATCCCATATATAAAAGAAAAGAGCCTTTATTTAAAGCTTGGAGCTTAGACTCTCTGTCCAATGCAGCAGTGAGAGCAGAGAGTCCCGAGCCCAGGCAAGGTTTTTTTTTTTTTTTTTTTTAATCATAGCAGAGGTTGGGGTGAGGGGATTTCCAGGGTTCAGGACCCTGATTGGCTGACATTTGTCTAGGGGTGCTGAGAATGTTTGAAATGTCAGGTGTTTCCCCTTAGATGCAGGCCCTCCCTGGGTGGGGTCAGCACATGGTTTCTTCTGGATCCAGATGTTGCCTGCCAGTAGGCCTGTCACAAAAGCTGTGTCTGGGCCTCTAAGCCTGTCATGGCAGCTGTGTGGCCAAGCTGTTTTAGGACTCCCTACATTCCCCCATTCACAAGTACCAATGATAGGACTTAATCATGAGTTCTATCTGCCCAGGGGTTCAAGGGTATTGGGACCTAAGAACCATTAGCTAACTGATTTTTCTAGGTCAGCGACATCTGTATCTATTGCCATTCTTAAGGCCCTGTAGTTCTGATCTTTGAGAAGAGCCAGATTATAATCTTGAATAATAATTTTTAAGGACATATAGTATCTCTTTGGTTCTGCACAAAGAAAGTTCAAGTGTCTTATCTTATTGCAGAACCATTTTAGTTAATAAATTTATCAATTGACAACTCTGAACCTATTTTTCTGGTATGTCAGTGGGCATTTTAGTTAGCCATTTTGTCCCCTATGCCAGGGAGTTTTCTTTTGACCCAGCATTTCAGCCTATTCTGGGCAAGGATCATGTGATGTTTTTTTTTCTTGTGCTGCTTTGAGCTGACATTGGGGCATTGTTGCCAGGGTCCCAAAAAGGTTAAAAGGCTAGTCAAAGGTTGGGCAATGGGGCATCTGTCAGAAGCATGTGGCTATCTGACCCAGCTGTAGAGACAGGAAACAATCACATTGGCTGGGCTGGATATATGTCAGTTTTTAGCAAGTCTAAAGTACATAGTCATCTGAAGCAGTGTAGTCAGCAACTGAAGCTTGGAGGTATCTGTCAGGCAAGTGGAAACCTGTTGAGACAAATTTAAATTAGGAACAGAAGTTAAAATTTATGAACTTACTTGGAACTTTCAGGCCCATAATCTTAGTAATTGGGAAGGGCAGGAGTCCCAAGACCAGGAGAGGGAAAAATACCATCCTTAGGAACAGACAAGTGGGGGAAATTTAAGTTGTACCTATCTGGAGTCCTTCCAACCTCTGTGAAGTGGATCCAAGTTTTATGACTCTTTTAATCCTCTGAGGCCTATATGAATTATCTTTAAAATGCCATAAAAGTTTTAGATACATTAGTAATACCAATCTGTAGTGAAATTCACATCATAGACAAAGCAGGTGATGGGTATATGTAAACCAGCAGAAATGGACTCACACCTTGGAGTCCTAGTAAGAACTACAGATTTAGGTTAAAAGCATGTGCATTTTCCTTCTGTCTAGAGATTGAGGTATAAATTGGACAGAGATTTTTTTTTTGGCCTGATGAGAAGCATTTTTATGTTTATATTTAGATGACAACCAAAATAAATCTACAATGTTGAGCCTGTGACTGTACAGTAAGTAGTCATTGTTCTACCAGCTTATCAGAATGCTATTAAATGTTAAGCTCTAAACTGTTATATCACAGAATGGAAGAGCAATCTGAAAAATTTTTTATAATTTAAATCATTCATTTATATCTTCATAACTTGTTATTATGAATATGTTCAAGGAAATTAAAGAGGAGATAAATAAACCCCTTATTAAAGTCTATGAAAATACAAACAGTGCAATGCAATAATGAAAACAGTGCAAAATATGAAAGTAGAAATAAAATCACTAAAGAAAATCCAAACCAAGATAAAACTAGAAATAAACAATTTAGGAAGTCAAACAAAAACTTCAGAAGTAAGCTGTGGTGATATTTTGTGTATGCTCTAACAAATAAAGCTTGCCTGAAGATCAGAGGGCAAAGCCAGCCACTGGTTAGCCACAGAAGCCAGGCAGTGGTGGCACACACCTTTAATCCCAACACTTGGGATCTCATGCCTTTGCTCCCAGCACTTGGGAGGTTGAGACAGGAAGTGATATAAATTGGCAGAGAAAAGGAATATAAGTGGGGAGGAGACAGGAGCTTGCTCTCATTCAGGCTGAGGAGTTGGCAAGGTAAGAGGTGGTGGCTGTGGTTTGCCCTTTTGTCTCTCTGATCTTTCAGCATTTACCCTGCTATCTGACTCCAGGTTTTTATTATTAAGACCAATTAGAATTTGTGATACAGTAAGCCTCACCAACAAAGCACAAGACATGGAGGTGAGAATCCCAGGCATTGAGGACAAGGTAGAAGAAATGGATATCTCAGTTAAATAAAGTGTTAATTCTAAAAAAGTCCAGGCACAAAAACATCCAGGAAATCTGGGACACTCTAAAAGGACCAAATGTATGAATAAGAGGAATAGAAGAAGGAGAAGCCCAGATCAAAGGCTTAGAAAAAATTTTTTCAGCAAAATTATAGAAGAAAATTACCCTAACCTAAAGAAGGGGGTGCCTATCAAGGTACAAGAGGCATACAGAACATCAAATAGACTGGTTCAGAAAAGAAATTCCCCATGATGCATAATAAAAAAAATTAAATGTGCAGATCAGAGAAAGAATATTAAAAGCTGCAAGGAAAAAGGCCAAGTAACATATAGAAGCAGACCCATTAGAATAATGCCCAGTTCCCAAGTGGAGATTCTAAAAGTCAGAAGGACCTGAAAATATGTTCTACAAACTCTAGGAGACCACAAATGCCAGCCCAGACTACTATATCTAGCAAAACTATCAATCACAGTAGATGGAGAAAGAAAAACATTCTGCACTAAAACCAAGTTTACACAGCATTTATCTACAAATCAAGATCTACAGAAAGCACTAGAAGGAAAATTACAATTTGAAGAGGTTAGCCATACCCCCTCCCAAACAAGGAATAAATAATCCTAGACCAGTAAATCAAAAGAGAGTGAAAACACCCACACAATAACCACAAAATAACAGGAATAAAAAAACCACTGCTCATGAATGAATCTCAATATTAATGGTCTCAATTCCCAATAAAAAGACACAGACTAACATACTGGATTAGAAACCTGGATCCATCTTTCTGCTGCATCCATGTAGCCACCAAGAATAAACATCTAAAAGATAGAAGAAGATATTCCAAGAAAATGGACCAAAAAGAAGCTAGTGGAGCCTTTTTTTTTTTTTAAACTTCAAGACAGGGTTTCTCTGTGTAGCTCTGGCTGTTCTGGAACTTGCTCTGTAGACCAGGCTTGAATTCACAGATATCCTCTTACCTCTGCTTCCCAAGTGCTGGGATTAAAGGCATATACTACCACCTGACTTGTAGCTATTTTGATATCTGACAAAATAGACTTTGAACCAAAAGTAATCAGAAGAGATAGGAAGGATGATACTACATACCCATTGAAACTATATACTTGTTAATGAAAAATTCCACCAGGAGGATATTGCAGTTCTAAACATTTATGGACTCAAACACAAGGGCACCCAAGTTCATGACAGAAACACTATTACAGTTAAAATTACTTGTCAACTCTCACACGGTGATAGTGGGAGACTTTAATATCCTACTCTTACCAGTAGATAGGTCATCCAGGCAAAACTAAACAGAAAAATGCTGGAATTAAATAACATCATAAATTTAATGGATCTAGCAAATATTTACAGAATATTTCACCCAAACATAAAGGTGTTTCTGCTGCTTATCAGCAGCTCCTGAACTTTCTTCAAAGTTGAACACATACTTAGATACAAAGTCCCAACAGATATAAGAAAATTGAAACAACACCCTGAATCATATCTGACCCCCATGAATTAAAGTTGGATATCAACAAAAACAGAATGTATAAAACTCATGAAAATTGAACAACCTTCTACTGACTGAAAAATGGATCAAGACAGAAATTAAGAAAGAAATTAAAAACTTTTCAGAATTGAATGAAAATGAAAGCACAATATACCCAAGCCTATGGGACACAATGAAAACCATTCTAAGAAGCAAGTAGCACTAAGTGCCTACATAAAAAACCTGGGAGGGAGCTCGTGTTAGCAATTTAATGGTGCACCTGAAAGCTATAGAACAAAAAGAAGTAACACTGAAAAAGAGGAGATAGCATGAAATAATCAAACGTGGGGCTGAAATCAACAAAACAGAAACAGAGAAGTTTCAAACTCAATGAAACAAAGAGTTCTTTGAGAAAATCAGTAAGATCGATAAGCCCTTGGCCAAATTAACTAAAAGATGGAAGGGAAGATTCAAATTAATAAAAGTAGAGGCAAAAAGAAGGACACCACAACAGACACCAAGGAAGAAATCCAGGGAATCATAAGAACATACTTTAAAACTGTGTATTCTACCAAACTGGAAAACCTAAAAGAAATGGGCAAATTTTTTGATATATACGACCTTCCAAAGTTATATCAAGATCAGGTGAGCAATTTAAACAGAACCATAACCTCTAGGGAAATAGAAGCAGTAATTAAATTTGTCCCAACTAAAAAAAGCCCAGGGCCAATGGATTCAGAATTCTACGGGACCTTCAAAGAAGAATTAACACCAGTACTCCTCAAATTATTCTGCAAAATAGAAACAGAAGGAGTGTTGCCTATTTATTTTAATGAGGCGTGTCTTCTAAAGAGAAAGAGAAAGAAAGCATGGAGTTAGATGGGTGGAGAGGTGGGGAGGATCTGGAAGGAAATGGGGGAGGGGAAACTGGGATCCAAATATATTGGTATGAAAAAAATTTATTTGCAATAAAAAAGGGGGAAAACAAGTTAACAACAAATTAAACAATTTTAACACTTTTTTTAAGTAAAGGAAGAAAAACAAACAAAGAAACCATAGTTAGGACATGGCAACCAGAAATCACCTTTAATAAAAAGACAGTGATTTGAATGAGGTCATCAAGGATCCTACTTCCTCCTCTTCTTCCTCTCCTCTTGTTCCTCCTCCTTTCCCTCCTCCTCCTCTCCCTCCTCCTCCTCCTCTTCCTTCTTAAATTAAACACACTGCTCATCTTGAGCTTGGAACAGCTTCTACTTGGCTTTTCAGCAGCCAAACCAAGAGACATTTACCGTGACTTTCTATACAATGGGCCAAGATTGAGCTTCACTGAAAACTATGTAATACATTTGCAATAAATCTACTTTTGTTTTTATACCACTGAAAACACTGAGGCTCATCTCAAAACCAAGGAATTTGAAGATTGTTTTTCATAGCAAAACATGTCAATGAAATATTAGCAAGTCACCAGACCCAGATGGGAAGTTTGGGGAACACAGAGGAGGTGACAGAAGAGGACTCGGCCAGATGCCTCCTCTTCTGGCCTGACTTCCTCCAGAAAGTGTTGTTTCCTACCAAGCTGTTCTCAGCAACCCCCTCCCCTCAGCCCCTTGACTTCAGAAAAATGCAAAGTCTGACTGGTCAGGACCCAGGAGTGGCTTCCAGCATGTCCCTGCTCCCGAGGAAACCTTAGGGGAGTCTCAGTCTGGACCCTTTTTTGAGCCATGAGCTGCTTTAACAGCCTGAAGAGCCTGTGGACTCTCCTCTCAGTGCTTTCCAAATGAGACAAAATAGCAGTAGAGGGCTTGCCAGTCATGTGTGAAGTCGTAGGTTCAACCCCCAGCACTGAATAACAATAGCATAGAAATAATAATAATAATATGAGAAAAATTTTAGCCAGTGTGATGACACATACCTGTAATTTCAACACTTGGGAAGCTGAGGCAAGAGAATGGCCACAAAAGGCCTGCCTGGGCTGCATATATTCCAATACTAGCCTAGGCTCTTGTCAAAAAAAAAAAAAAAAAAAAAAAAGGAGAAAAGAAAAATTTTAAATTGAATGAAAAGGAGCCAGTTTTACTGAAAGACCATATGATCTGGTTATGCGAATGTGCATGCACACAGGTACATGATTTAGGCTCTGAGGGCAGGCATGACATGTCTGGTGTTCTGCAGTAGCAACAGGTATCCATGGCATTCTAGAAATGATGGTGAGAGTTGTAATGTCATGTGAGACTCCCTAGACTTTCTGTAGGCAGTACAGTCACTGGAACTGCCAGTGTTACCAAGATACGCTCTATATTTACACCAGGAAGAGAGTCAATTTTAATGAGAAATTAAGATAAAATAAAGATGTAATTTTCACCAATTTGCAAACCCACTTGGTTTCTATCTACTTGAGAGGAAGACTCTCTCAGCGGGGCCCCTGTGTCTCCAGTGACTGAGAAAGAGTGTCTCTAGACCCCAGAGTCCAGAACCAGCTTCAGTAACACAATGAGACTTCCACAGCAAAAGAGAATAAATAAATAAATAAATAAATAAATAAATAAATAAATAAATAAATAAATAAATAAATAAATAGCGGGTGGAAGGGTGAAAAAAGACAAGGAAGGAAGGAAGGAAGGGAGGGAGGAAGGGAGGGAGGGAGGAAGGAAGGAAGGCAGGCAGGCAGAGTGGATGGGCAATAGGGCAGGCAATAAAACAAATAACCTGGACTCGTGTTGACACTGTTTTAGTTTCTTTCCCTTTTGTGATAAAATCCTCTGGCCAAAGCAACTTAAAGTCAGAGGGTTTATTTTTTTTTCTTCTTTTTTTTTATTTTTTATTTTTTTCGAGACAGGGCAGAGGGTTTATTTTAGCTCATAGTTCCGGTTTACTGTCCACCACTGCAAAAAGGCAAAGGCAGCAGCTTGAAGCAGCTGGCACACGATGTGAAATGCACATCATTTGGTAGTGCTTGGCTAACATTCTCATTCTCTCTCTCTCTCTCTCTCTCTCTCTCTCTCTCTCTCTCTCTCTCTCTCTTCCAGGGTCTTACTATGCAGCTCTGGCTGGCCTGAAATCTGCTATATAAAGCCAGCTGGTGTAGCATGAATCTTAAAAGTTCTTATTAATAAAATCAAACCAGTTATTGGGGTCAATGCTGGTAGATCAGAGACAGAACAAGCCACAGCTACCTCACCTCGACGGATCCTCAGCTGGTCTTGCTTCCTCAGACTGGAGGCCTCTGTGTCCTCATCCAGAATGGGTCTCAGCTGAATTGCTGCTCAAAAGCCTGAATGCTTAACCAGGCCAAATGCTTAACCAGCCAAATGCTTCTAGTTTCTGGTCCTCATGCCTTATATACCTTTCTTCTTTCTGCCACCACTCCCTGGGATTAAAGGCTCGCTTTCTGAGATTAAAGGCGTGAGTCACTATGCTTGGCTGTATCCTTGAACACATGGATTTCTGCCTCTGGAATGCTAGGATTAAAGGCGTGTGCTACCACTGCCTATCCTTTATGTTTAATACTGTGCCTGCTCTGTCTCTGACCCCAGATAAGTTTATTAGCATGCACAATACAATACCACAAGCTGGTCTTGAACTCACAGAGGACTGCCTACCTCAACCTCCCAAGAGCTCAGTACTTGCTCCACTCTGATACAGTCCACAATCCCCTGCCCAGGGAATGAATGATTCCACCCACAGTGTATGGGTTGTCCCACTTCAATGAATGTTATCAAGATAATGACCCTTAGGCAAGTCCAGAGGCCCATCTCCCGGGTGATTCTAACCTCTGTCAAGTTGATAGTTAACAGCAACCTTGGCAGTTCCACACAGGGATAGCCTGGGCTAAGACAGTACTTGTCAGGAGCAATCACAATATGCACTAGGTTGCTCCCTTTCCTTCCACAGGGAATGAACTTTTACCAAAATCTGTAAACACTTTTCATAATCCAGTGAAAAGGAGAGGCCTGGTGCGGTGGTGTGAATGAGAACGGCCCCCACGGGCCCGTCTGTTTGAATGCATGGTGTCCCCAGTCAGTGGGGATGTTTGGGAAGGATTGGGAGGTGTGGCTTTGTTGGAGACGTTGTGCCACTGAGCTTTGGGGTTTCAAAATGCCCTCAGCAATCCCAGTGTTCTCTCTCTCTGCCTCCAGCTTGCCAATCAAGATGGGATCTCTCCCATGTTCACTCTAAACCTCTGAAACTCTAAGCCAGTGAAACACTTTCTTTTAGAAGTTGCCTTGGTCACCATGTTTTGTCACAGTGGAAAAGTGACTGAGGTAACAAAATCATCTATAAGGAATCCTAACCAGAAACCACAGGCCAAAAGCCTTGTGCTGCTCCAGAAGACACTTACCTAGGAATTTTAAAAGTAGAATTTCTGGTCAAATAACCACATGAATGTTCCCAAAATATCTGGGTGTGAAATAATCTCTTGCCCTGATGTTATGATTGACTGCAGAGAACTTGATCCATTCCATTCCTGGTTCATACTGGCAGGTAACGGGAGCTACCAAAGAAAGAGTTTTGAAGTGTGCATAATAAAAGGGCATCTTAACCCAACTTAAGATTCACACTGAGATTGAGATATTAAGTCTGTGTGTGTGTGTGTGTGTGTGTGTGTGTGTGTGTGTGTGTGTCTGCGCGCGCGTTCTAGAAATAGAATCAAGAGTCTTGTGTATGTTAAGCATACACTCTACCTTCAAGCTCCAAAAACAGGCTTTACCAGTGGCTCTCAAACTTCCTAATGCTGTGAGCCTTTAATACACCTAGGTTGTGGTGACCCCCCAACCATAAAATTATTTTCATTGCTACTTCATAACTGTAATTTTGCTACTATTATGAATAATACTGTAAATATCTGATATTCAGGATATCTGATATACATCCATGTGAAAGGGTCATTTGACCCCCAGAGGGGTTGAGACCCACAGGTTGAGAACCACTGCTTTAGACAGATCTCTATTAGCAAAGCAAGCACCAATCAGTTGGTAAAGCCCATTTTGTAGATCAGAGAAGTCCTAGCTCTCTGTCCTTAGAGTTGCTGTGCCCGTAACTTTGGGGCAGACACAACATTCCAGCAGACTGACCTCCTGACCAAGTGATCCTCCAGCCTCAAGCCAGACTCTAAATGCAAAGGCTGCAGGCTTCTGAATTCTTGTTCTTGCAAATAAGGAAAATTTCTCATTGCTTTTGGAAACTTTCTCATTGCTTTTAATCAGTTAATACTTAGAGATCTTTAATTTCCAGTGGGATCCCATTTCTGCAGTTTGCACCACCAAATAACAAGCTGCTATTCTATCAGATAAAAGCCCATTTGTGAAATTCTGTGTGCTTGTCAGAAACGTCTAGTTGCTCACAGGGACAGGGGCAATAGAAGGCCAGGCCATCATCACCCGTAGAAGGTTCTACTTCCTGACAGTGCCGGCTGAGCACGCCTGGACTCGGTTCTCTGTGTGCCAGTATCTTAAGACAGTCAACCATCCCAAGTTGGAAACATGAAAGAATTGTATGATGAACACCCGTCTGCCAGCAGACAGCTGTTCAGTGCTGTCCATCATGAAAGTATAACAGTAGTTCTTTAATCTCGGCTAGTAACAGAATCACCCAGAGAAAATTTAAAACACAGGCTGTGCTGCTGCCCCAGAACGTCTGCCTCGAGGCTTCTAGCTGACAACAGATATCTGGAGGAGTTTCCAGGGATGCAGACGTCACTCTGTGCCTGCACATCAATTGGAGACCCACAGATCACGGTTCTACGCTGATACTTTGACATACAGTCACAGGCCACCTCACTGTAGGGACAAATTCCGAGAAACGCAGTATTGGATGAATTCCTCATTGTGCGGACTTCCTGGAGTCCCCTTGCACACACCTAGAAGCACAGGCCAGCCACATCCGCCCCTAGGTGTGACAGGAGATAGTAAATGAACACAAGACATCAACAGTGCTGCTGGGGACATACTGTGTACAGGGACATGTGAGGGCCATGGCATTAACCAGCTACATTGTCACAAGCTGTCAGAGGTTCTTCAGTTCCCTTATAATGTCATGGTCTCCCATTGTGTTTATGGGCCATTATTGTCTAAAATGTCATTATGTGGTACACAAATACTTATTTTATCACACACATCTATCTACTTAACCTTCCATCTGTCCATCCATCCATTTTATTAATGTGTGGATGTATTTTAAGGTGATTTGCAGGCACCCTACTGTTGCCCCTGAATATTCCAATGTGCAAGCCATTAACCACTCACCAATATCTGTAGATGGATTCTTTTTCTTTTTAAAGATTTATTTATTTATTACATATAGAGTGTTTCTGCCTGCATGTATGCCTGCAGGCCAGAAGAGGGCACCAGATCTCATTACAGATGGTTGTGAGCCACCATGTGGTTGCTGGGAATTGAACTCAGGACCTTTGGAAGAGCAGCCAGTGCTCTTAACCACTGGGCCATCTCTCTATGCCCCTGTAGATGGATTCTTAAAGGTTAGTTTTAAAGAAAAGTGCCATTTGAAAAACTTTTCTAGCTGGGCAGTGGTGGCAAGGCAGTGGTGGCAAGGAGGCAAGGCACTTAGGATCTCTGCAAGTTTGAGACCAGCCTGGTCTACAGAGTGAGATTCAGGACAGGCACCAAACTACACAGAGAAACCCTGTCTCGAAAAAAAACAAACAAACAAAAAAGAAAAGAAAAAAATTTCTAACTGGGAGCCTAACCAGGCAGGCTCTCTTTAAGCTTACATGTAGGCAAACTGATGCCTAATGAAGAGAGAAAGAGAAACCTGAACATTCACTCAGTCACTAGCTAAACTCTGTGTAGGGACTTCCCACTCTAACCAACCAGACTGATTTTTATTTTTCTCCACTTTCTGGAATCATGTTATAAGATTCCTCCCCTCACCCTCTCCGTGGAGTGCTAAGTGGCTTCACAAATCTTTCTATGTTATTCTTTCTTTCTTTTTGTTGTCCTTTTGCTTTTCAAGACAGGGTTTCTCTGTGTAACCCTAGCTGTCCTGGAACTTGCTCTGTTGACCAGGCTGGCCTCGAACTCACAGAGATCCATCTGCCTCTGCCTCAGTGCTGGAATTAAAGGCATGTGTCATCGTCATCGCCTCATGGCTTTGGTTCTCTTTTTCTGTTTCCTTCCTTCCTTCCTTCCTTCCTTCCTTCCTTCCTTCCTTCCTTCCTTCCTTCCTTCCGTAAGATTTATTTCATTTTTACCTGTGTGTGTGTGTGTGTGTGTGTGTGTGCTGCCTGTGTATGCCCTCTGTGGTCTGAGGCTGTGTGGAATCTGCTGGAACTGGAGTTACAGGAGGTTGTGACATGGATGCTGTAAAACAAACTCAGCTCCTCTGCAAACTGTTCCTAACCAGTGAGCTATTACATCGCAGCCTTCCCAACTCCTAAGCCACACAGTGTCCAAACAAGCCCGTGTCTAAATACTCCTATTTGCCTCACAGTGGATTGTGTGCAGGAAAGAGTTTTTAAAGGTTTTGAAAGATAATTTGCATATGTCAAAATTCACTCTTTTTAACATATAGTTCTGAGTTTTGACAAAAACTCATACAGCTTGGCCCCACAGAGATGGGTAACCACGCATCCCTCACCTTTCAGCTCCTTGCAATCACTGGCCCATCTTCCAACCCCACAGCTTTGCCTTTCCCAGGATGTCACAGGAATGAAATCACACCACCTTAGGAAGCTTTTCCACCCCTCCTCCTTTCCCTTAGCAGAATGGCATTTGAGACACGTAATTGTGAGGAACTGTAATTCATTCCTTTCATGCTGCAGACATGCTGGTAGCCAGACATTCTTAGAATTCACTTTGAAACTGATTGGCACACTTGCAACATCATGCAAGCTGACTGCAGATTAAAAGTCAGTTACAGACATTTTAACATCTGCCCTTATGAGACTCCCATGTGTCCTGCTCTTCACCTCCCCATGTCTCAGTATGTGTGTGACTAAATGGTACCCGGCACTTTGTCTCTTGGCTCTTGGGACAGTCGTTCTCTGTGGTTTTGTGGTCAGCCAGTGGCTGGATCATTGACATTCAGAGACACTCCTTACATGATAATGTTCTGCCCTCACGACAATTTCTCATTGTGGCCACTACATTCTTCTTTTTAACTCATGAAATTTGAATGCAAGTGTCTACCGGAAGGGTTTCAGGATGTAAAAGCCCTACCCAACAGAAGTATGAGGCAAATCAGACACCAGATTAAAGATTTCCATGCACCCATGTATTTTATCTTATTTCAGTTTTGGATGTTTTTCCATGGTAATTTCCAGAAAGCCCTAAACATTTGAATGTGCATATCATTAATTAGCCAGCTTCCATCCAAGCCCTCCAAGGTCCTTATTTTTATCCTTATGGCTTTGAACCGAGAAAATCAAGGTGTTCTGCAGATCAAAGTGCCTTGTGCAAAGATACTCAAGAGTGGGTGATACCTTCTGGCTCTCCCTGCCCTCGCTCCCATTAAGTAGAGACCTTATAATTGAGGTGTCAGTGAGGAGCACAGAAATCAGGGGTTTACCCCTCAGTCCTTTCCTAAAATGGCATCTCAAGGAGGAAATTCACTATGTTGAACCAATAAGGCCAGTGGTTCTCAAAGTTGAATGCTCATAGGTTTTACCCAAAGGGGTCATTTCAATTGAGAATTTCCTGGGCACCAAACCTATGACCTACTCATCCAGTAAGGTAGGGATCTGTGTAGCTCGAGTTTTCCTGCCTTGCCCAGAGTCAGGACAAATCTTTGTCTCCCGCCAGTCCCACAGCCACTCAGACCCAACCAAGTAAACACAGAGACTTATATTGCTTCAAACTGTATGGCCATGGCAGGCTTCTTGCTAACTGTTCTTATAGCTTAAATTAATCCATTTCCACAAATCTATATCCTGCCACGAGGCTCGTGGCTTACCGGCATTTTCACATGCTGCTTGTCCTGGCAGGCGGCTGGCAGGCAGTCTCCTTCTGCCTTCCTGTTCTTTTATTTCTCTTTGTTAGTCCCACCTATACTTCCTGCCTAGCCATGGCCAATCAGTGTTTTATTTATTGACCAATCAGAGCAACTTGACATACAGACCATCCCCCAGCACAGCCAAGTGCAGACCATCTCAGACACCTGCACTCAGGCCCATGGTCCCAATCATCCTCTATGCGGACCTGCTGGGTAAAGCCACGAGGAACCCGAGAATGGGCTCCCACAGGACATACAGAACATCCCACAGCAGATCTGCATGTTTATTTTGAATCCCAGGTGATTCTGACGCAGGGAACTGTAAACTTCTACTTGAAGATTGGAATATAAGGAACCTTCAGCCATGGGTCCTACTTACACACTGAAATCCACATAAGGTTGTTTGAACTCAGGCAACTGAAGAATCCCAGGCGGGTGGTGTGGACTGGAAGCAGAATACTACAGATTTACAAACCACTCTGCTCCAGAAGGCAGAAGGACACGCAAAGATGTGTGTTGTGTATTATATTTTAAAGGCTCAGGCTT